CATTTCTGACTCAAGCTCAGAGCTTCATCACCATCAGTTCATACTTCTCAAGAAACCAACAACGACAAAATCCCACCAAGAAAAAGAAAAGAGACCAAATTCATAGACTAAAATCTCATCATTATTATTGCTGTGAAAAAACAGCTACTATAACGCTCTAAACTAAACTCTATTACTCAACTCTTGGGGACCCCCTCATTTCTAAGACAATCCCTGACTGTACAAGCATATAGCATCGCAAAGCCCCAAAAGTAAACAGAGAAATGAAAAGAAGATAGAAAATTATTACCCTGGAACAGATGCATTATTGCCTATGCCTCTGTTGAATAAATCAACGTTATTTTATGAGATTTTTTTTTAACTAAATGAGTTTTACTAAAACTATTAAATGTGTTTAATAACTGTTTGTAAAAAGAAAATTTTACTTGTCTTATGGGATTGAATTTTGTCTTAAATACTTTGGTCAATAGTCCCACCAATCGACGTGCCTACAATTCAGCGAGGGAGATTAGTCACTATTGCCGACGGTGAACACCCTCTAAATATGAAAAAAAAAATCTTTATGAGATATAATTTTAACAAAGTCATTTTTATTTAGGCTACCCATGTTCTAAATTTCTGTTCAGATTTGGGGAGATATTTTCTCATGTCAGTTAGATTTGAACGTTAGTTTTCCAAGTCTAAAGAAGATAGAAATTAATATTATGGTGGAACAAATGCATTATTGCGTATATATGCCCCTAAATGTACACGGTGGTAGTAGTTTTTCGATTGTCCGCAAACTCCATTATTTTAGTTCAGGTAAAAGGACTATTAAAATTGAACGAAAAGAACATAAGTTTAAAGTTACGGATAAAACGATGGTCCATCAATGTATTTTGATTTGATAGTATAGTCATTGTAATACTTTTCTTATCAAAGTGTGCAAATCCTTTCGGATTAATTGTCCAAAAAATTAAGTTTTAAGTATGCAATACTTTATTTATAAATCCGTTATCTTAATATATAAATTGTTTTATAAAAGAATAATTAATGTTTTCTTCGTTTTCTATATAGGGACATCATGAGCATAATAAAGCTTCATTATAACAACAATTTCAGTTCATTTGGTGTTCGCAGGGTCGTGTTATTGGAAACTACAAAATTGTTCATAATTAGAAGGGAGTAAACCTCTGAGATAATTCTTGGACCAGATTGTCTCCAAGTGTCAGCAAAGTTTTGGGAAATACTTGAAGAAAATGACGTAATCATTACCTCTATATAAGCCCCATCGGAATATGATTAATGGTTAAGATGCTTATGGTTATGGGTGACTCCAAAGTCCAAAATATTCGATCAAGCTAGCTAGAATGTGATAACTGGCTCCAACGTTTTTCATTTCTGTAACATCGATCGCCCTTTCACGTACCAAAGAGATTTACCATATATATAAACAAATGCATCCAACTTTACATATCGATCCTTATATATATATTTTTTTAAATCTAAAAAGATAAATACATATGAATAAAAAACATACTAGGAGATCCTTTATGTAGCATTGTAATCAAAAGAAAAGGATATTGATTTTTTTTTTGGTTATGGTTGAGCGAGCTTACGACGATGAAGCAAGACTTGATTGGGAAGTTCCAGTACTTATAGGGGTTTAGGGTGTATTTGGAACGATTTTTCAATGCGTGGTTTTTTGGGCTAGAAATGTAACAAATTATTATGTTAGAAATGTAATGCTGAGTGTCTGGAAAAAAATGTGGTGAAAGTGGCGAAAAATGAAAGCAAACAAAAGCCTTGGTCCTTGTTTGGACAATAGGTCATTTTACATTTTCACTCATTTTAACTCTTAAATACAAAATCCAATGTAAAAGAAAACATTATCCAAATAACTTTCTGATTTACATTTTAAATTTCAACTTGAAACACTTTTTGTTAGTGTAATGACTATTTTAGAATTACAAATAGTTCAGTGACAAATTTGACATGATTTCGTTGTTGAGTGATTGTTTTTGAAAAAGTTCTTTTTTGTAATGACTATAATTAACAGTATTTAATTATTTAGTGATGACTTGTACTTGATATTTCAAAATATAGTTCAAAATACTTTTTTTCAAAACCAACATCCAAACAACATTTTTATTTCCCATTTAGTTTTCAATTTAAAACACTTTTTACTTTTAAGTGGCAAAATGAAATGTAAATTGACGTCCAAACAAGCACTCATCCTAGAAAAAAAAGAAATGGAATATGTGATGTGTGGATGACCTAATTAAAGTGGACGTCACTATCCACGTGTTGTAGAGAAAGATAATAGCTAATATATCACTAGTGTAGTCAGAAGTCTTCCATGATTGACTCTTATTGAAAATGTTACGAATTCAAACAAAACATGAACACGCAACATGTCCACTACAATATGTTCCACCTTAACTGCCTGCTTATTCCAAGTTCCGACGTTGGGAAACACATTTCAAGCTGTGTAACTACAGTCTTCATTCCCACTCTTCTCCGCTGCTCTTTAATTCCCTAGCTAAATGAACCTCCAGCAATCTTGTTAGCTTTTTTCTGTAATTCGAACATCATTTTTGTTCAACCTAGCTAGCTACTTGCTTTATATAGGAAGCAATAGAAGCCCTTAAAATTACATAGCTAAAAGGAATGAAATTACCTTAATTTAGAGAAGAACTTTTTAATACTGGCCGTCGTACGTACGCATTAGATAATAACTTCCACCCATGCAAATGCTAAAAAAATGCCCAGAGAAGTAATCCTTTCGTTTTGTTCTGGACGCCTTGAGTTTTGGGCTGTCTGGGTTTGCGTTTCAGTGTGGAAGAGTTATACAGCTATTAAAGGAATACGTCCCGTTACTCATTTCCCAATTAATTTTACATTTGATACATAAACTAAACTAATTAACTTGCGTATCTTAGCTAGGATTTAGCAAATTCGTTACGGCAGTTGCACTATAACCAACACCGACCCCTCCAGAAAATTAGGCTATATATGCTAGCTATAGACCAAATCTACATATAGAGTGCCTTCTACTATTAACCCAAATAAGCCTTAAAACAGGAAGTCCATTTTAGGAAGTGAGGTACATATAGACTTGTAAATATTGTTGGTGTCAAATCCATCATCTATCTTTACTCTAGAGCCTCAAAAGTGTGGTATGAAACAGAAGGTTATCGTGTTGTATAGGACAAGGAATTACCATAAAGACGAGGTTATTTGTAACAAATATGCATAATATTAATGTATAAGTGCTTTCACATTCTAGAGAGCGCAACTGGAAAGATGTCTATTCTAAAAGATGTATATTTTAAAAGATCTGAGATATATGTGAAGTGGGGCACAACTATACACTCCACCTTAAAGTAGATTTGTTGTTTTCGTTAATTTACAAGCATATAAATGAAGCTTGAGTACGAGGAGTATATTCCAAGAGAATCATGTTAGGGAAAGAACCTTGGAAAAAAAACTAGGGGGTCCGAAAAATAAAGCTAATAAATTGATAATGTATACCGCACCAACTGAACAGTGTAAACATCCGTGGTGTGGCATTTGTGAAATACAACCACAAGATATTTTTGGTGTAACTAATTTGGGTTAATAATTGTCATGAAATTAACGTTCCTACTTGCTGTGGGGTATCTTATGGCTAAGAACATTCCAACAACATATTGGGGTATTTTTTGCCCATTACACTATATCTATCACTAAGACAAAAAAAAAGAAATGTTGCCTCTGCTACTGAAGAACGGTCTTTAACATAATGTGATTGGGATTTAATACTCGCAAGTGTTGAGATTTCAGCGTTTAACCGCGTATCCGGTAATTTCTGTTATGGGGAAACAATGATCTTGACCAAAATCATGCCGACAACTAGCCTAGATCCTCAATTGTGATCTCATAAAAGATTTCAAAATGTAATATATATTATGGTTATGTTAATGTTGGCAAGCCCGTTGTTTGAAATGAATATTTATGTATAATGTGCTCTCTTTGGGGAGGGAGCAAATTTTGGTGATATTTTCTGTTTCCTATACAGTTCATACTTATATACAATATATACTGCTAGTATCCAGCAATCCATGTGCCTTGGTCAGTTTTCATCGCTATTCTCTACTATTTCTACTTTTTTTTTTTTTTTTTAAAAAAATGTCAATCTTAAGGAAAGATTCACCGAAGATCGAAGCGTTGAACTTCTAGGGTTGATTAGGATACTTCTCTAAGATTCATTAGGCAGTTCACATGTCCAAGAAGTACTAATCCTTCTAAACGCAAATCGAATCACAAACAGATGACTGCGGATCGAGTAACAAGATGAAAAATTGCATCAATTAGCTTCACTCGATCAGCATACCTAACTTCTGCTGTCTTGAACAATATTTTTCAAATAACATGGGAATAAAATAGAATACAACATTGTAAATTATAAATTATATTAAAATAATTACAATTTATTATATACAGTGTGGACTATATATTGGGACGGAAGGAGCGAGTATTACTTTCCTGATCAAAACGATGCTCTCAACTCAAATTTTATTAGCAAGTCAAAGTATGAGCATTCGGGATAGGTAATTGAATTTTGATTCAGATGCAGGAAGATACGAGTATCGTCTACATATCATCATAATTAGATGGTTGCGGAAAATCCAGACAGTTGAAAGAATGGAATACGAATGCAGTCATTAAAAAAAATATAAAACTAATATACAAATGTGCTTCATTTTGTTGTGCAATTGTGTCTTGCCAAAGATTATTTGTCTTCATAAGTTAAAGCTAGCCAAAACGACAAAGTCAGGAATGGATTGAATCATTAGAAAAACAAAATAAGAAATGGCAATCAACAAATATTTCCTACTCGGTTTAGAAAAGTAATCTATTTGTTAAACCAAAAACAATATAACAAAGAAGAACATTATTCTAAAACAAAGAGGGAGTATTAATTTTATTGATCAATATAAATATCATACTTCATATTTTTATATTTTGGTCCGTACAGAATATATTTATTACTTTTCTGGGGAGGTAAATCCTTTTGCTTTATTTGGGAAAGGATTTCAGGGGTTTTCAGAAGGGACAATTGGTGTCGAAGCCACTAATGGTGTCGACAAGCCTTTGGTGCCTTTCATAGAGTTTTGCAGGTAGTTTGTCTCTCTTTTTGAGTCCCATTAAGATATGCAACCTCTTCATCTTCAAACTTCACTCATAATTTCAGATTTGAAATTTGCTCTATTTGATATCCTCCTTGAATTCCTACCATAGTCCATAACCAATCTAACCTATCTACTTCTTTCCATTACCCCTATTTACTTCCTAATGCCAAGGGCATGAGTTATATCACCAATTCTCAGCTTCTTGATTTCTCAATAGATCTTAATTCCGGAAGCTAGACCATGTGCAATTACGAGCCCATCACAGCCCTTAAGCTTAGTATAGGCAACAATGAGCTCAATGTAGAGCTAATAGTCCGTGGTCCATCACCATCAAAGACGTCTATGTCTTCGCCTTCAGTTCCGTCATTAAGTAGTCCAGCCAAATCGCGAATTTTTTTGTGCAACTATTGCAAGAAAATATTCCACAGTTCACAAGCTTTAGGAGGCCACCAGAACGCCCATAAACTCGAGAGAACCTTAGCTAAGATGAGCAGAGAAGTAAGTTCGTCCCTTCAGCCCCGTTCGGGTCCTAACCATCGATCATCACCGCCCGGATCGTCCATCTCTAGTCGACGGCAAGGCCAGCCGTACAATATTGGCCAGGGCTATCATCATCATCAGCGGAAGCAGCATCAAGGAAATGGACGATTTGTTAATGAAATGAGCTACCGGAGACTGGAGAGCCGTCAATGTTGGATTGATGATGGAGCCGAACCCGAAATTGCTCAAGAAGATTACAACAAGATCGATTTGTCTTTAAGGTTGTGAAAATAGTTTCAAATTGCTTCTACTACTACGTACTATTAAATCTTGGTACCTTTCGTTGTTGTTTGTATTCTGTGAGAGTAGTACTTTAGATTTCGGCGGGCGCATATTTTGTAACAGAAGAAAAGACGATTATAAAATCAATATATGAAGGTTTTAAAACTCAAAAGATAAATTGGGTTCTCAAACAAGTTAGCTAAAAACCATCAAGCATTACACAAGCAACTTCATTCAAATCAACCAATCACAAACTGATGAAACGCGACTACCGAAAATGGTATCTCTGGTTGAACATTTTACATTTAGAGTCTTCAATCAGCAATTTAAAAAAAGAAAAGAAAAAAACTTCTGATAATGAGACCCATACTTCTTGATCTAGACATCAATTCAGGAGCTTAGGAATTGTTAGTTATGCCAACAATAGTTTTGGCTGATGAAGAAGTAACATGGCAAAATACGTTACACACAAATCTTTAATTCCCTGTAAAGGTATCTAAAGCAATAACGATTACATGTGATTTCTAACACTAATTTTCATCACGACATCTAAACTTCTATCATCGCCATCATAGATTGGGAAACCATATGGGTGTCAATCCGCAATGTCATATGCATATCCTACAAGGATTATTTGGGAAGGTTGGACGAAGAAGAGATGACTCTAGATGATATATACTCAATTTGGTGATTTTCATACAAGTAACATTCTTGATGGACCTTTTCCCAAAAAAAAAAAAAAAAAAAAAAGTTTTGATGAATATATAATTGCTATATTTTGATCTACATCATTTGGGCATCTCCAACGTGGCGTTGGATTTTGCGGAGCGGGAACACCAACGCAGTCCGCTCCGCTGTGCCCCAATCCGCCAAGTGCTTTTCCTTTTCTTAGAAAAAAACAATTGGGCTAAAATTAATGGGTGTTTTGGGCTTTTTTTATTCCTTTTGGGCTAACTTGAAGCATTTTAGACTACTTTTACTAATTCTTTTTAATTTGGGTCATCTTGGGTGTAGTTATATAATAATTAATTTAATTATTGTAAATTCATTACATACATTATTTTAACTAATGTATGAGTAGTAAAAATAAAATTAATAATCATAATATATAATTTTAATGAGTAAATTTAATATATGGTTGTCTTCTCTTTCTTCTTTTTTTTTTTTAAAAAAATTTTTGTAATGTTTTCAGTGTTGCATTTGTAATGTCTTTTTAATGATATAAATGTAATATTAATAATGGTGTTTTTTTAGTATCATCAAACAAAATTTTTATGATATTTTACAATTTTATAATTTTATTTAATTAATATAATATAATGTGAAAATATTTTAGTGTAATTAATTAAGTAAAAATTTTGCTATTTTAATTAAATAATTAATATTACTATTCATTATTAAATTTAAAATTCATATTCGTAACTGTAATTTTATAAATGTAAATTATTTTTGTAATAGAATGTAGTAAAATACAATTACATAAATTAATTACATAATTTCTTTTAGAGAGATTTTATAAAAGGAATGGGTTAGAGATGCTGAAACTTCTTAAAGTGAAAATGTAGTGGGATTTTACTATTCCAACTCTAAATATAGAGGTTAGGGCATCTCCAACCTTTTGCCCCTCTAAACTCTATATTTCGAGTTAGAATAGTGAAATCCCACTATTTTTACAGTTTAAATAGTGTCAGCATCTTCAACCCCTTCTTTTTATAAAATCCCTCTAAAAAGAATATTCTCAGTATATTCTATTATTTATTACACTACAAGAAAAAAGATTTATAATGACACTATTATTAAGACAGTTTAGAGAAAATGTCATTATAGAATTTTATTATTAAGGCATTTTAGCAAAAGTGTCAACAAAGAAAGCTATTAGGACACTATTAAAAAAAAAGTCTTTTTATTAGTTTCTTTTATCACTAGTGATGTCTGGTCGCGCAATGCGCGACCCTGGCCCAGTCTATTTGTAGATCTTAGAAATGTTTATATTTACAAAAAATAAAATTTTGTATTTGGAGCGATATATTTTAGAAATGTTTGAAGGATTTTGAAATGTTTTATAAGTGTGATCATAGAAATATTTGTATTTTGCAAAAAAAAAAAAATAAATTGTATTTCGCCATGTATGTTTTAGAAATGTTTTATAAGTGTTACTTATTAAATATAAATAGCTTAATCGAATATATGTATTGAAGTAAATGTTAGATAAAATATAAAAGTATCCTAATAAATTTAAATATTAGTAAGATGATTTATTGATGTTCTCCATTGGTCGTGCCAAATCAATACTTAGTTTTGGAGATTTTTAATAGCTTTGTAATAAGTTTCATCCGAAGGGTATACGCTTAAAACAAAATTGACACTTTGTAACAAAAAACATAATTGATCAATTCAATTTAAAAAACCACTCTAGTTGAATGAAACATAAAGAAAAAATTATTAAAAAAAAACGTGTCATGTAAAGTGCAAAGAGAGATTTAGTAATTTAGTTATGGTTAGACAAAAGGTCAATTTAGTATTTTCTACATGTCACGTAGCAATCATATGAGGTGTTTGAAAGAGAGGTTTTTGTTTCTAATATAGTAGGATATAAAGCGTTATACCGCATTATTATTACGGCATTCAACCCCTCATTAGTTTTTATTTAGAGAAAAAGCAGGAATAACCGATGTTATCAAATTAAGACGAATTGCTTTTCGTCTTCTTCCTCCTTCGTGGTTATCTCCTCTCCAATAAACTCCTCGTTATCATCTTCCTCTTGTTTTTTTTTTCTTCTTTTTTTTTCTACCTGGCAGCGAAAGCCCCTAAATCTGATACTATTGCAAATTTTGTAGCATCAATCGTCTTAATTTTCTAGTCGTCTTTTGATAAAGTAGCAATCGTTCTAATTTTTTTTATTTTTTTTTCTCGTCCAGCCATGAAACCTACCGTTCGTACGGGTGAGAAGGTTTCAGCGTCAAATAAAGAGCTTATGGATTCTTGATTTGATGTAATTTTAGGTATTGTTGGATTTCAATAACAGTTTTTCGGTTAATATATTGAGTATTTAATTTATTCTCTCTGAATTTGTATGATCTTTGAATCTTTATTTATTTTTATTTTTATTTTTTTTTGGTTCTGTAAAAATTCAGGTCCAGGGTGTAAGGTTAGTGGTTAATCTTTACTCCTATGGGTTACCGGTGATAGTGTGATTGCGGTGGAGGTGGCTCCTCAACCGCTCAATTCCAATAGCAGCAATGGAGAGGTGATGCTGCTATAAGACTCAGTAGTCCAAAATATCAACAAGGAAGTGCACTCAACAATACACACGAGGAGGCCAGCCACATGAATCATAGATGGATTGATTAATTGTGTCAAATTAGCCCTGAAGTCTATGCTGCCATTGCTTCAAGCCAGTGTTAAGATGTCCTTTTCGTGCATTCATTAAGATTTCTTCACAAATGTATGTAATTTGTTGTACCGATTCACACAAGCCAATGTAGAGGATTGAAAGTTAATTCCTTTACTTATGTGTATCAGCAATTACCTATTATTGAATAGGGTAATGATATTACCAAAACAAATAATAGCATCCAAAACAAATTTGTTGTTAGAAAGACAAAAATATCCTTTTAATTCATCACTCAATTTCTACCCCTTTTGTTTGTCCCGGAACACCACTCTCCTCCCGCCTCCTGCCTCCTTTTTCAAGTCTACAGTAATAAATAGACAACACAAGCCCTATTGTTCAAACTAAAGACAAACTTCATGGATGGATGGTTGGTTAACCTTCCAAGCAACAAAATCAACTTCTTATTGAACATTTTCTTATAATGTGTTGTCGTTGATCAAAATCCCGTAGGGTTTTTTAAGAGTTGGACTCCAACTTTGCAACACTAAATAAAGATTATTGCTTCAAATTTTTTTTTTTCAAATTCATCGAGCAACTGGTAAGTAAAGGAATTACTGAGAGTTTGAACTCTTCCCTGAAAACGCTAACACAAAAATTGAAGACACCTCTGTTTCAAAACTTTATGCTTGAAATTGGGATCAATCGTGAGTACAATTGAAACCAACAATATCAAATGATTGAAACAAGTGCACAAAAGGAATAATTATGTTAAATTGTTGGATAGGAAAAGGGTGAGAAAATTGATAAATTAGTCGGGACTGGGGCTTGGGAGTTGCGGGTAGTTAAGGGTAGTTTATGAAACAACGCAAAAAATTGTTTTGGAAACTAATAATTGTTGGCAATATCACAAACCATTAGTGGTATTCAATTTTCAATGCAAAAAAAAAAAAAAAAAACATTTATATTATTGTAAAAAGTAAAATGCTAAAAGGTTTTCCGGACACTTCACAGTAAAAAAAGTTATTAGATGTAAAAAAAACAGAATTAGATATGATGGCATTTATAAGTGTCTTTATAATTTATTTATTTATTTTTGGTAAAAGGTAAACTTATATTAATTTGAGCATATTTACAAGTACATCTTTCCCTACCAACTGCAAAATTTTCCTATTCTCGATCTGCTATACAATTCTGATTCCAAGTCAACCCAAGTATCTAAGTTCAGCACTTTTTCCTTTACAGCAGCCCTGTTGTGTTCTCCATATCAGTTCTTGTTTGATAGATTGCAGCCTATCCTCGATTGTTCTAACCTCCTGAGCAAACCTCCTCCTATTTCTTTCATTCCAGATATGATAAATGCAAGCATCCACAGCACTAGCTCCGAGTTTCCTTTTCCATCTTTGAAATCTGAACCCATTCCTCAGGTTACTATAAACCTGATCCAACTGCTTACTGTTCAGCTGAATTTTCAGCCATGCCATCAGGCTCTGCAGCAACTGTTCTGAGTAAGGACAATCAAAAAACAGATGCCTATTGTCTTCCACACAATCTGTTTCAGAGAGCACACATGTTTTTTGATCAATCCAAATGTTCATCCTTTCCAGCATTTTGATTGTCAACAACATGTTCTGAGTAGCTAACCAGGCTATAAAATTATGTTTAGGCAAACAATTTCTATTCCATACCTCTTTAACCTCCCTGTTCTAGTGGTTCATACTCCCACAAATCCTTAACTTTATATAGTACTCATTCACCCATTTAACCCACAAAACATTCTTTTTGGCTGCTTGATTCCTCACTCCTGGTTCTTTAACATTCAAACCACCTTCTTTTCTAGGTCTGCACACTGCTTCCTAGGCCACCAAGGAGGTACTATTTCCAGCTTCATTCCGGCCCCAAAGAAATTCTTTGCAACATCTAGTTATATGAGAC